TTATTTAAATTAATTTCAAAAACATGATTTTGTAGAGAATTTCCAAATAAACATAGTAATATAACCTAATTTTAACTGTGATCCATAGATAAGTTGTGATCTCTGAATCATAGATAAGAGCCGAGGCTATCAGCGAAGTAAAAGATCAACAAGTTGTCAATTTATGATGTTGTAAAAAATGAAATATGTTATATCTATTATCTATAGGCGTACAATCTATATTTACTGTAAGGATTAGTTCTATGGTTGACATCTTAAAATTTATTTCTCATTAATCTTGTATATATTATGTTAGTTTTAGATTACAGGTTGCGTTAGATGTTACTTATTTACTTTTTATTAAATATAGAAAAAACTCATGGTAAAATAAAAAAGATTTTATTTATGACTCTTTATGAGCTTTCGATTACCAACATTTTTTTTTTAAATTAATTGTAAAATTGAAGTTTAAATTAATAGGACGATCATATATACACTTCTGAATCTTATCTATGCTTCTGAATTATAAGAAATTAGAAACTAGTTCTTGTCTGTGAAAGCTATGAATAAGAAACATAGATATGAATATAGATTAATAATTGTCTATGATTAATACTAAAATGTCAAAGTTAAATTATAAAATTGTAGGCACCACTCCTTAAAAATTATGTTCGTTAATGTGCGTTAATGTGGTTGCAGTTAATCGAAAAGAAAAAAGCAAAAAATGAGACAAAACTCAAAACATTGCAAAATGTGAACAAAAATATGGGTGTAAGTGTAATATTTTATTAATTTGTGGTGAAGCAGTTGATTTAGTTTTGATAAAAGTTACGAATTTGGAGTGTATCCGTATGCCAATTAAAATGAATATCGCCAAGATATTTAAAAGACACACGCACAAAAACTCAGATGATAACGGTCCTTCTGTGATAGGAAATCCAACTAATGTAATTCATGATATTCATGTTTTTACAAACAAAGAGACTGGGCAGCTCGAGGGTTTGCCACTGGCGTGGCAGCGACAAATCGGTAACCTTTTTACTAAAGCAGAACAAAATAATAATCCTGATGCTTTGTTGCACGCCGTAAAGTACTATAATTATTCGATTAAGAAAAAAGAAGATTCCGAACCCCCTTTCAAACCTTTTGTAACAGAGCAAGATATTGTTGAGGAGAGCGAGGAAATTGACAAGTTTATGAATTCTGATGATGCACATGAAAGCAGAGAATGTCTTCTGTCTGATGATGATAAACCTGCAAGACGTTTGCCACCAAATTTTCCAGAGTTTTCAAATAGGTATGTAACTCTTGAAGACGTAATAACAATTATTTATTACTTCATCGCACCTCTCAATATCATTTTGTAAACAGTGTGCATGTAAAATTAGTAATTCTTAAGTTTTAAACAACAGTAGTGATAAAAAAGTAATAAGAGGCACAAATGTTCAAATTTCCGGCATATAGGTATAAGTATGACGAAAAATAGTATACACATCATACTTTCAGCCTGAGGTGGGTAATGGTGGGAAAACTATGAAGATTTTTACAAATTTATGTTAAACCGCTTCCACTCTGTGAATAAAAAATTACATGAAATACAATAATTTTTTATCACTTTTTGATAAAATAATATCATAAATTACTTAAATAGTATTTAAACATCAAATTTTAATCTCCAAACCTATTGCAATTTATTTATCTCTAAAACATTGGACAGGGGGTTGTAATGTTCTACAAATAAAAAGAATTCCTTATTTAGTTTGCATATTTCTCATTTTAACTGTAAACTATTGAACCAAAAGATACTTATTATAGATACACTTGAAACATTTAAAAGGAAAATTTAGGGGTAAAAGGGAACTACTACAGTAACCATGAAAACAAATTGTAATTTTAAAAATTGTTTTTAAAATGAGACACATTGGTATTTTTTCCCAGAAAGAAATATAGTAGTAGTAAATATATATATGAATTGATTAACGTGAGTATATGTGGATATTAGAGGCAAAAAAATATATTCCTTTCATTTTAATAATTTTTCTTTAATGAAAATACCTTACAAAGGAACCCCCTGTCAGCAAAAATAAGAAAAATCTGAGTTTATTATGTAGTTCATGATTGATTTCAAAGAATTTTTTTTGTTCCTTCTACTTTTGTGTTAGTTTTTGAAAATCTGTTTATAAGTATAGGAATTTATTGGTTTTTCTTATAGGAGAGAAACATTGCCGGCCATACCACCAAAGAAATCGACGAACAAACTCGCAATAAACAATCATTTAGCGAAAAGTATAGAAGACTTAACAGCAGTAGAAGAGAGCCCAGTGTTACGAAGAAAAACTTTAGAATTCTCTCAAACTGATGAGGATGTGATGAGGGAACTCAGAAGCATTTGTAATCCAAATGACCCCTTTGAACGTTACAGTAGAAGTAATAAAGACCTGGGCGCTGGCGCATCGGGCATAGTCTTCGTCGCCACCGACTTAGTGACCGCCAACAAGGTGGCCATCAAAGATATTGATATGACTAAGCAAGCTAGAAAAGAACTTTTGCTAAGCGAAATTAAAATCCTTAGAGACTTCAAGCACAAAAATCTAGTCAATTTTCTGGATGCCTATTTAGTTTATGACGACCATCTTTGGGTTGTGATGGAACTTCTAGACGGTGGTCCTCTGACGGATGTGGTCACAGAGACCATAATGAAAGAAGGTCAAATTGCTGCTGTTTGCCACGAAGTCCTTCAGGCAATCAATTACTTACATAAAAGGGGAACAATTCATCGGGACATTAAATCAGACAATGTATTGTTAGGAATGGACGGGACAGTTAAAGTGACCGATTTCGGCTTTTGCGCCAACATTATAGGGGACGAACAAAGACAGACAATGGTTGGAACTCCGTACTGGATGGCTCCAGAGGTAGTTACAAGGAAGCAATATGGAAAGAAAGTTGACATCTGGTCTCTAGGTATTATGGCGATCGAAATGATCGAAGGAGAACCACCGTACTTGAGAGAGCCACCTCTTAGGGCTCTTTATTTGATTGCAGCTAATGGAAGACCAAAAATACCTAGATGGGACACCTTGTCTAGTAATTTGCGGAGTTTCATAGACGATTGCCTTCAAGAAGATGTGAATAAAAGGGCTTCTGCTGATGAACTGCTGCAGCATCCTTTCTTGCAAGTACGAATGGAATTATCGACTTTGACTCCTCTTATTAAGGCAGCTAAGCGGATTTTGAATAAGACGTAATGATGCTGTAAACCATGTGCCTTCCATGTTTAACTTTCCTTCCGTATAGTAACTGCTTTAAGACTGAAAAGTGGACCAATCCCATATAATTTTTTTATCAATATTTACATCAAATTACCTATGAAGTTTCAGATGCATGTGTGTACATATATTTTTTTGTACATTTTAATTGTTTTAGTTTTAGGCTTGAGAGGCCATTGACAGGTAAATATGGTGCATTTACCTTTCATGCTAAATTTAATTTAATTATTTGCTGTAATCACTAATTGCACTTATCGTTTTTTTTGATATTTTGGGAAATGCTTTTATATTGAAAATAAGCAATTTTTTAAAAATTTCACTGTAAGAAATTGTTAAAAGATACTTAGATAGTGTCCTTGAAGAATTTTCTTTAATAGAATAAAAAAAATACGTTTATTTTCAAATTGAAAGCAACTTTTCTCATATAAATGCTTATTAATAGTAGGTGCAGTTGTTAATTACAGTAAAAATATGAAATTGGATTTAGGTCGCGGGAGAAGAGTTCACTATATTTAGCAAGCAATGGCATTTTTTATCTAAATATTTAGGGTATTATTTTTAATGTATGCATTTACTTATTATTATAAAGAGTATGTTAGTAGGTAGCCAATTTTTTATTGATTACGACCAGTTAATAAAATTTACAGATTATTTATTCAGCTTTTAATTAAAAAACAAAGTATAATTTAGATATAGGTATACTAATCGTAAGACAAAAACAAATTAAATCCATGAATCTTCTACGTATCTAAAACTATCCTGCAAACTTTTAACAAACTTTGAGGCCTTTTCTTCATCATCATTAAAATCTTTTTTAAATTTAACAAAACATTTTATGATTGCACACTTTACATCTTTCATCATATTTTTTACGTCTCCACACACATAAACGACAGCCCCATCTTTGTCAACTAATTCAACAAATTCTTTTCCATTTTCCATTATTAAATCTTGAACGTACTTTTTATTGCTATCATCTTCTCTTGAAAAACAGGTAAACAATTTAGTCAATGTTCCCTTTTCTTTGAAATCGTGAAGCTGCTGTTTGAATATGAAGTCCTTATCGCAGTACTTGCAGCCGAAAAATAGCCACGTGAGACCATTCACTTTCTGCAAAAGTCTGGTTTGTAAAAATCCAACAAAGGGTGCTACTCCTGTACCAGGTCCTATCATTATAATAGGAGTTGAAGGATCTTTTGGGAATCTCATTTTTGGTTTTCGGAAGTAAAATGGCACAAGTTCTTTAACAATTGATGAATTGTTTAAACTTAAAGAGCCAAATTTCGTCTCAATATTTTCACTATCGCTTATTATGAGACTTTCCAACCAACCTGTACAAACACCTTTTCTGCCATTATCAAAAGTTATTACAGAAAATGTTATATGAAGTTGATTTTCAATTAATGGAGATGAGGAAATTGAATATGGTCTTGGCTGTAATGAAGGAAGATGCTCCAAAACTGCTGTTATTGGAGGACAACAGGATGGATATTTGTTTAACAAATCAAGAAGACCAATATTATTTGAAATAAATTCTGTATACTTTGTTGATCCTTCTTTTGAACATAAAAAAATAATGTTCTTTCTTTCTTCTTCTGCTTTGGTGTAACTGGATAAAGTTTGCAGGAATAACTGAGGAAAAAATAAAAAGATAAATTAATAACTATGATTACTAAACTGCTAAAAGAAAGGACCAAATCCATTGCTATACTTATCCGAGTAAGAACTCTTTACCTTTTTTGGAGGACTTCTAATGTCGATATGGTACTGCAATATGTTTCTAATTGTACCATACTCAGGTATATGTTGAGGGATTTTTGGATTTTTTTTTGATGTGTCGCGTGAAACAGAAAGTTTGTAGAACTTATCTGCTACCTCCTTCAATTTTAATTTTTCTATAATTTGCTCTATTTCATATGCAGAATTGCATGGTAAAATTCCAATTGTATCACCAACTTCGAATTCAAAATCTATATCCTAAAATAAAAAATATACAAAAGATGTAATAGTATTTTGAATTTATTTGTTCTAAAACCTGTGTATTTAAAATTAATTCGTAAATCTTATTAGTATCTTCTCCTTTAGATAATAATTTCGAGGACTTGATTGGCGCATAATATAATGGACTTTCTGCAAACGGTAAGTTCTTTATTTTCGGTTCGTCCTTCAATAATGGAAGAAAAACATTAATAAATGTAACTGATTTAATGTATGGTGTACTTACAGCAACTTTAACAGAGTTAAAAAATTCAATATTCAAAAAGTGCGAGGCGCCCATTCCTTTCATAAAAATTGTATTCCTAACCTAAACGTTTTGTTCTGTCATAGCACATGACATGTCCAAATATTATGTGAAGATTTTCAGAAATAAACCTGCAAGGAACATTAATAATTTTATTTAGTGTACGTAACTAAGTAGGTAAGAGCTATTGTTAATAATTATTTCTACATTTTATTTAAATGTGGATGAGGTTGTTCGCAAATTTTTCTTAAGTTGAAAACGCCTTTAATTTTTCTTTTAGCAGCCTTGGGCTTTTTTAAGAGAACTTGTTGATAATATTAGTTTTTTTTTATGATATTTATATGTATTTTGTCTTTTAGATGTTTGTTTTCCTGGGGAACATGCTAAGCCTAATGTTAAGCAAAAACATCATGACTATTTTCTTGACAGGGTTTTATTTTCTTTCAAGTTATTTATAAATATTCTGTTTACAGCTATTATCCAAAATGAATAGAATTTTGTGAAATATTTTCATGACAGAATGGAAATATTTTTCAAAAGAAAGCAAAACACCAGAAGGAATTTAAATTTCCCGCCATTAAGACGGAACGGAAATTGACAACTTGGGAGTTTCTTGTAGAGGCAAATAAAAGCCGGCTTTTATCAAAATTATTTTAGTTTTCAAATTATATTTGTGTTTTTTGGGTGCAATAGTTATAGTTTTTTTAAATTTATTACGTACAATTGTGTATTTGACTGCAGTAGTTGGTAAGGCCTTGGCTGGAAATCATCCGCGTTTGCTCTGTTCAACGCCACCGTCGTTCGCGATGAACTCAACCGAAATGGACGAGTGCGTTGTTCAACTGTTTTAAGCAGAAGTCGCCATTGTTGTTAAATAAAAATTCGGTAAAAGAACGGTTTCATTTTAATATTTCGTCAATATAAACATTAATTAGGTGTAGTGTGACAAACCAAAGTTCGTTAATAAAAAATACAATTATACATTACGTGCAGCTTTTGTAATATGCGGCTAAAGTGGTGCAATGTTTTAAGGTGCGTGTCTTTCAATCGGCATCGTAGTACGTTTCGTAAGCTTTGAGTCGTCACGTGGGAGTGCATCGTTCAAATTGCAGGAAGTGTAAAAACAAGTTGTAATATCAATTTCGAAGATAACGAAGAAGAAAAAGGATATTCCATAATTACCATCGGAAGTGTGTGCAAAAAGCCATCGACTTGTAACGGTTGGCGCTAAAATGTTTACATGTTTACAAATTAAGATTCCTAACAACGCTTTGTTTTAATCGTTTGTTTTTTACCATCTACCTCGTGTAAGTAATGGAATTAGCAGGTGACTAATTGTTTTAAATTAAAGTTATATATCGCGAGTGTTACAATGAATTACGAATAATAGGATTTGGTAATATGTGCCAGGAGTGAAAAGAAATTGACTGTAACAACTCTGGATGAATGGGAGTGCGTACGGCCTCGGCGAGGCATCTCCATGTGTTGGTGATGGCTCCAGCCCTAACAGATTCGGAGCAGTCACAAAAATTTAGTTTGTCCCCAAAAACCCTTAAAACTACTGACTTTGGTGACTGCATATCACAGAGTGTTAAAAAAAACACAAAAGGTGACGATCATCAGCTAGGCTTAGACACTGATGATAATCATTTAATAAAAAATGCACCAAAAAATATTAGTTTGTCAGCAGTGAGAGGCTCAGGTGATGAACAACTGGGACAGTTGCAACAACATAGTCCCAAACATAATTCCTCCATTGGTGTAATGAACAATAAAATACGGATGGATGACCCTCAAGACAAGATGGGACTTGAAAAAACAAGAATAGATAACATTTCATCTTTAGTTAAAGATAAGAGCATACCAAATGATGTAGAACAGATTTTGAACAACTTTGAACCAGACCTTTGTGAGAACGATGCAGAGACAGTAGGAGACATACCTCCACCGAATGTAGATGAAATAATGCAGGTGATTAAGTCCATGGAAGCAACTAATACAGCAGACTCCATGTTTTCACTTGCCACAGACTTAACCACCAATTTATCACCATTTGAAAAGGAATTATTGAATGATGTTGATGTTATGAATATGAGTATGGATGATCAACTACTTGACGGGGCAGCAACGCTAAAGGAACACCAAACTAAGGAGGTTATTGCTGAATTACAAAAGAGACAGGTGGGTGAATAACGTTTTAAGTCATTTTTAGTGGTCATTTCATATTTATTGCTATCCTTTTGTATTATGTATATCACTATTGTTGATATGGCTTTATCAGCTCGTTGAAAGTATAATTAAATGAGCTGGTATCAAATTTAACTCCAACATAATTTCCAACTTGCCTTGAATATATAATGCCCGGTTTTAAAGGATCCATTTTTGCTTTCTGTATTAATTTTTTTTATGATAAATTGTGTCCCAAATTTTTGTTTTGCCTTTTTTATTTAATGATATTAGAATCAGTTCTACTTCGCAATTTTTTAAATTCCAATTTATGTGTGTACCTTTTTATTTAAAAGACAGCTAAGCCTCATTATGTACCTATTCAAGAGATAAATAATGTATCTATTACTCATGTTGAAATATGCAGAAAAAGTACCCCATTTATATCTAATGAAATACTTTGTTTTACTAGGTGGACTTACAAATAAATTTCAACATTTTTTTCTGGTAACAGTTTAAGATTAGCAACGCACAGTTTTTTAATAAACAGTGCATTCTTCTATAAGTACATTAAATTAATAAAGTGTACTGCATACAATTAATAAACTATTTGCATATCACATCATGAAAATATATCGGTTTTTAATTAATTGCTTTGTAGGTATAAGTATCATTAAAGCCCCAACAAGTAGATATATCTTCAGAGAAGATCAGATAAAAATCTTCACACTAGTAGGTAGATCACATAGTCAACTTCCACATTTAAACGTCTCTAGACAAATATAGAAGAAAAAAACATGTCGAATAAGATTGTTATAGTACTTAAGTCCTCTTGAAAATGTAATTTATATGAAGGAAATAGTAATTAGTCTAATGTCACGATTAATTATTAAGTAAGATTAAAGCTAAATAGCTACAAAATGCAAATTTTAGCATTCTTTAAGCCCTAAGATACCTATTAGGGGTTTTATTGGAATCTATGAACTAGGCAAAATTGATTATTTCACTATAAATTGGCTACAAAATATATGCCAATTAGATCTTTGTCCGAGCCCGAGGTTGGCTGGAATAAATATGTAAAGAAGACTTTTAACATAAAAATAATATAGATTTTAATTAGGCAGTTGGAGTTAAAATAAAAACTTAAGAACACATTGTCACTAAAATTTCGTAGTAAACATGTATGTAGATAGTCAGTATCAATGAAGATGACTAATAAAATAATTGCAGGTTTTAATTGGGCGATTAGAATTAGAAGATGAGTTGTAGAAGAAACAACTTTGAAGTCTTTTAAGAATAAAATAAAGCAAAACAGTTAGATAAATGAATTAGGTACATGTTTATTAGAATGTAAATCGTAGTCTTTAAAGAGCACTTAAAAAATAACAGATAAGAAAACGGCTTCATAAGGCTTCTAAACCGCAAAAGAAGATAAAACAATTAAAACCATAGATTTTATCGTAATTAGGCAAAGTTGATAAAAACAATTTATTTTTACTACAATTAAGTGAAATTTATTTTGAAAGAGTTTTAAACGGAAATCATAAAAGGAAAAATAATTTGATGTTTTAATTAGTTATATTAAAAACAAAAAAATTGGTAATGCAGTAAAGATGAGTTCTAATGAAATAGCTTTGTAAATCAAAAATCGAAATAATAGAAGATTACGTATAATAAGCGTCTTGGGATTAGAATATAAAATTAGATTACATATTCATAACATTCAAAAGTACAAAAGAGGGCAAAGCAATTATAATTTTTAACAGAACTGAACTAAACACTGTTCATTTTGTATTAACACCTAAATCTTTAGTATGGGCAAGAAATGAATTCTATAAAACAGTCCCTAAAAACTTAAAAGAAAGCTAAACAATACTGGCCATTTGGGATTTGAATAAAAACGTAACAGAAATTAGACTTTTTATGTTATAATGAGGCGTTAAGAATTTGAGTAAAAACGTGCTAAGAATGGGTTATTTATTCTTTAACTTGGTGTACGTTTATAATGGCAATAAACAATGGATCCTAAAAGAAACTTTTCTTTAATTATCAAATTTTCAAAATATTTACATTTTTTGTTTTTGTTTTAACAGTTAAAGATAGAGAGGCGAGTCGATTTTTTGCTAAGGCGCCTGCGCAAAATTCAGGTCAAGCACATGGGCCAGCACGTGAGCAATGAAATCGCAGGCGTGTTCGAGCACGCAAACAGGACCCTCAGAAAAGCTAAAGAGGCGGCCAACAACAACACCACTGCGCAAAATAAAGACCAAGAACCTCCGCCTCCTTATCATCCTTCATCGCTACAGGAAGCGTCCGGTTCGCCGGAACCCTTAGCGACGATTGTGCCTTCGACAACCACAAACTCGAAGGATGAAAAATTGAAACCGATCTCGCAAAGTTCTGCCAAGAGCCTTGTGCGCAAGCTCGAAACGTCGACCCTGTTCCAGGCGACAATTGTGGCACGCCAAAAGTTTACGCCGCGATACTTCGGGTCCGGTTCGGTCGAACCCGCCAGCTATCGGAGCGGGTACCAGAACATGACAACGTTACCACCATGGTCGGCTGAGCATAAGGCGGAGTTGCAGAAGGTGGCGGGTTCGCTTCATACGCAGCTGCGAATTGTGCAACAGGCGGTTGACTCGGAGGCCACCGCCAGTAGTTCTGGAGGCGAGAGCTGCGACGAGTTTCAAACATACGGGAATCCGCATCAGCAGTACCTGAGTATGTAAGTAAAACAAAAAGAGGTTTGCTATCTAGGGAGAGAGTACCATAATTTGCTCATGTGTATTGGAATTACAAACAGCAGGTACGTTTTTGACAATAAAATGTAATTTTTGCTAATGGTATGATGGTACAAATCTTATACTTCCCCTTATTTTTACTTGATTGTTTATAAAATCAATGAGATACATTTTCTAAACATTATTCAAAGTCAACACTACAAGATTGTTTCAGAAAAAAAACTTAACCAAGTCGATAGATGTTATACATTCCCCATTGGTTTAGAATTGGGTAATTTTTTACAATTCCTTCTTTAGATATATCGTTTTTCTATTGTGTTGTAGTTTTTCAATAGGTGTTCTGAAGTATGCAACGGTTTCAAGCATTTATTTTCGTTTATTATAACATCTATTCTTCTAAAGCTTGATATTTGATGCTTGAAGTTGATGTCTAGTGTTGTGTGGTGTAATAACCCCATAGCGCTTTTATACAAAACTCAATTTTCTAACATAGTAAATTGAAAATCGCGTGTTTTGAGATTAGTTGACTGACCGTTCACATTCTTTTTCTTTTTGAGATTTTGTATGATCAGGTAATTTTAAATAACATAAACGAGGTAAATGTATTGCGTGTGTAAAGTAATAACTAAAGAGATTTGACCCCAATCGATGTGAATTCTGGCCAGTTTCCAACTATATTTCGATATAAAGCTTTATAATACACTTGTATATTATTGTGGAAGAATTTTGAATAACAGGATTTGATTGAACTGTTACATTTTTGAGTAATTTTGAAGGTAGTGATCGTTAAAAATTTAGTTGTTGAGATTATAAATGTTAGCATTAATTTGGATGGACGATAGAGGAGGGGCGATACATTTAAAGTCTTGAAAATTATAAATTGTTATTGGTGATTATGTTTTGTTGTTTATGCATAGTTTACATGGCTTTTTTTAAAAATAATTTGTAAGTTGAAATGTAGAGATACGTATGTCGTATAAAAACGCGTGAATATTCTACTACTCCGATATTTAAATAAATAAATGCTTGGTAAACATTTCACAAAGTTGTATTTAAAAGCGACAGTTGTTTTGCTAGACATTAACTTTATCACGGTTTGTTCAGTTTTACTCTATAAGGAAAACTCAACCACACTTGATAAAACTACTGTGTAGCGAAACAATGGTCTTTTTTATTAAATAAAATTTTGTGAAAAGTTTAGAAGTTATTTATTTTTTATTCTTATTACTTTTTTCATGATTATTCTTTGTTTAACCAAGTAATTCTTCATTCTACGATTTAGATATTTTGCAGTATCAAAATGGGCTTTTAGTATCTGACAAATTTACACCATACTTAGTAGCAATTCGGAAGTACTAAGTGTGTAGACCGCAGGTAGCATGTAGAGATATAAAATAAAAATCTGGGCAATGTACGTTCATTAAAAAAGTGTGCGGGTGAATAGGATGCACGCCTTACGTCTGCCTGAAATTGATTGTAAATAACATAATATTTGGAACTTATTCTGTCACCACTGCTTGAAATTCATTCTATCACCACTACCCCCTTTATTGTATAATTAAAAATGGCGAAAAGCTAATAATTATTGGATTTATACATTATATCAGAGGTTGGCCTGATATTTATATTATTATTCTCATTTCCTCTTATGTTTTCTGTGGGTCGACTTTTTTATTAGGGATGTTGAATAACGAATTAAACATTTACCCTAATATGAAGATTGGAAAAACTTTGGCGGTTGTTGGAGAACAAACAGAATAGCTCAAAACCCCAACGCCAAAACAAGACACTGTAGTTGTCCGAAGCACTTTTCGGTAAACTGAGTTTACTTCAGTCCCTGAAGAAGGTAACTTTGTTACCGAAAAGTGCTTCGGACAACTACAGTGTCTTGTTTTGGCGTTGGGGTTTTGAGCTATTCTGTTTGTTCTATTTACCCTAATGTGTGTTTGTCAGCCACACAATCAGGTTGATTTTGATATGTCTTGGTAATTAAATTAAATTATGATTAGTTGCTTTTGAAAATATATCATCGTAAACAGTTTGCTTTCTTATAAGACACAAATTGGTTTGTGTACTTCATTATTCTACATCACTTTTTCGTGTACACGTGTTTTTTTTTTTGGGTTCTAAAAATTTGTCCATATTATCTGTGAAATATATACCAATTTACTGAAAATATAAGTTACAGATAATTAAGTCTCATTTGGGCTTCTGTACTGCTGGAAGGAAAACGGAACTATTGTAAAATCCTTAAAGATTTAACTACACTAGAATCGCGATAGTGTCAACGCCATTGATGTTAATGAGGTGCATATTTCACTTTGTAGTCACAAGTACCCAGAGCAAACTATTTGTGCTTGTATGTGGTAGTAGCTCCGAGTTTCACTATGGTGGTTGCATGTGAGAAGTTGTGGTGGTGTAGGAGATATAATGGTTAAAAGTAGTCGACCTGGGGCATTTTCATATTTTTACCAAAGTGTTCACAAAAATGTTTAGATTTCGTATAATATTCGAATTTTCTCCAGTTTGGTGGGTGTGTGAGTTTTCCATTACCAGCCACCAAACACCAGTTTAGAATAAGTGACAGTCTTCTTGGTAGAATGTGTTTTAACGTTTTTAAGGTGGTCTTCAACTAGAATATTAGTCGAATGTCTATGATTGACCTCAAATAGAATACTCTAGAGTCAATTGGAGCAGAAGTATCTAGAACGTTCTGGAATGTTCGAGGACTGTTACCTTTGAGTGGTAGAGCTGGGTTCTGGCATTAAATTGGAATATTTTTATATATTTCTCCTACAATGTTCAAGAAATCAGAAATTGTCGGGTGTTTCGAAGGTTGTCTTATTTTTTGCTTAATGGTCTTTTCTTTTACAATTAGCCTTTTTGTAGCGATTGACTCAGCTACAGATATTTATGTCGATATCACTTTTTCTATCCATTGGGTTGCTATATTTAAAGGATATAGTTATTTCTGTGTTTATATGTACTTATATTTATTAGAATAGCTACAAAATTCAATTTACCCCGAAGTTAATTTTACCTCGGTATCTCCTACATGTTTTCTATTTGGGGATTTTTTTTATAATACTCCATTTTTTAAGAAATTCTTTATTAAACTGCTAACTTGTTAGTTTAGTGATTTGCTGTTCTGACTTCCCCTCCAAAGAAAGGGTATCAATAAGGCCTGCTTTCGACTACAAAATAACGAAAAAAATATGTCATACAATTTGATGAATTGAATTATTAAATTATATTTCCTAGACTGTGTGTCTGAAAGAGTGGAGGTACGTGTCCAATCAGTCTTAGTACTGACGACCTTATGATGATGATGATTTACTTTTATATATACGTAATCCACATACAAGAATTCATATAGGGAATGGGGCGAAAATAACACCTAATCGATACCCCTCCTTTCGAAATAATTTGTTGTATAAAGGATGATTTGATGGAACGAGTTGATCATTAAGGTTTTCTTTTCTTTATCACATTACTTCTCCCTGTACAGTTCACGTCTTTGGTAACCTTTTCTGATATTTACATTTTCATGGGTATACGTGTAGCTTTTAGTTTTTGGTCATCGTCTTGTTTAGCTGATATTTTATGGGAGTCTGAAAGTTTTCATCTTTTATTGTTGATTCGTTTTATTTCGACCAAGTATAAAATCAATGTAGTAGTACGTGTTGATGACTTTTTCAATCTAATGATCCCAGGGTTGTCAGTCAACAAATCTTTAAAAATTTGTTTTTGGATGCAACTTATTATAAGGCAGCGGTGACATCATTTTTAGGGTTGAAGGGGCTAAATTTAAATGCAAATACAATGATTTTCGTTTTATTTAAAACCATTTTAACTTATTTCTATTTTATCTACCTTTCCCATTTGGTTCGTATTAATACTATATTGAATAAATACTTATTCCTTTTATAATTTTTGATCTTAATTAACAATGCGTTTGATTCTCCTTAATTGATTTATTTTGTTATACAAATAAATAAGGAATTTAAGGATTCATTGTTATAAAATACACGGGTGAATGCTATTGTCTAAATTAAAAAATAGTTAAACTAAATATTTATTTTTTACAATAATAGGAATTTAACAATTTTAGTAAGTAACGGGCACTTTTTGTCTTTACTATTAACATAATTTATTCATAGTGTATGTGGTTTTTCCGAAAGTATATAAAACCACTGGTAGAGATAGTGATTAACAATATCGTAAGCTGGTATTGAAAAGTTGTATATTTTTTTTATTGCTTCCCAATGAGACCGACCACGAGTTTATAAAAACGTGTTTTTTTGCTTTCACGATAATTTTGTTCATTGTGTAAATCTGGTGTTTGTGGTTATACTTAGCTCCATTATAATCAAAACATTAATTGTGCATAGATACCGTTTATTGTAGCGACAGTGATGATGATTCATTATTATTTATATTTTACGGTTTATTAGGCTAATAAAATCAAGTAATTAAAGTTGTGTGCTAATAGTCATCAACGAACTTGTGGCAAACATGTAATTAATGACGTGATAACTTCATTTATTATCGGGTGTTTAACTTACATATTTTATTATTATGCTTTAATTGAATGAAATACTGATACAGGCGGGTAATTTAACCATGGGGTAAATATTTTTTAGGCTGAGTAGAAGGTAGTTTTATATTGTACTTCTTTTAGCTGCTTTGTTATAAGTGTTATTGTAGTTTAACATTATTGTAACTGCTTGCCACCACGTCCGGTGTACCCAGTGTGAATGACTCATTACTATATTACATTATCTCGTAAGTAATTACATTCACAATGAAGTAAAATTAAAACGCTATTTAGCGAAAGGGCTTCCCATTTTTTTACACATATTGGCTATATGTATTTCAAATATAAAAAACGATATTGAGATAAACTGTTTCTAGTTCAGATTTAGCCCCCCCCCCGTTTTATTTGTAATGTACATATTTTATTCCCCAAATGATGTGAAAGGAT